ATCACAGGACGGATAGAAAAAGCACATCCCCATAAACCCTCTTTAGTCCCTGGAGTTATTTTGCTAAGCGACCTCTTCCTCCCTTTGTAAAAAAAATTTTTTTTGATGTTTTTTATTTATTTTTGAGGTAGAGAGCAAGTGCGAGCTGGGGAGGGGCAGAGAGAGAGGGAGACAGGAACCGAAGTGGGCTCCATGCTGACAGCAGGGAGCCTGATAACGCGGCTCGAACTCTCTAGCGATGAGATCATGACCTGAGCTGAAGTCAGACACTTAGCTGACTGAGCCACCCAGGCACCCCCTTCCTCCCTTTTAAGAGGTCATGTATATATCAGAAAGCACTGGGAATGGTAGGAGATTGCAGCTTAGTGATAAAGAGCAGGATTTTTTGTGTCACACCGACTTGTGTTTGAATCCTGATGCCACCTTTTTCTAGCAGTGAGATCTTAAACAATTTACACAGCCCTTCTGTGCCTGAGTGTCTTAACCTGTAAAGTGTAGATAATACTACTTAACTTGCGGAGTTGTTTGAGGATGAATGGCAGCACGTGAAGAAAGAGCTTCTGGACACTGCAGAGCCCAGAAACCAGCCAGGAAATGATAGTTTAGTGTTGCTGTGTCTTAGATGGTGTAACACCAGGGTGATGAGTGTATAGGTCTGTCCCAGAAAGGCTAGCTTCCATTGCCTGAGAGATAATTCTGTCTTCAGTGAGCTATACGTTTCTTGACTCCAAAGAAGTTCTTCTGGAAGGGGTATCTTCATGCCATAAACAGTGATGGGGTATGTGTTCTGTGCTAGGCTTTCTGGGGGAGCAGTTAGAGCCCAGCCTTGACCCTCAAGGAGCTTACAGTCTGGCTCAAAGACAGCACACAAACTCAACTATGATGTAATGTAAAAAAAAATGTATGTCCTGGAAAATCCTCAAAGCTCTGTGGGAGATCAAAGAGGCAACAGCATTTCTAGCCAAAGGTGTTCAAAACCAAACCCGTTTGCCCTGACTTCTGCAGCCAGACGTGTTCCTGCCGTGCGTTCCCATCCCCACGAATGGGCACCAGCCTGTGCCCGAATCCGGCCAGGGCTCTGGGATGCTCTCTTGACCACTCCCTCTCCTTCCCTTCTGCTGCCACCTGGCCACAGGCCTGAGGAAGATCCTTCTTAATGTCCCTAAACCTCCCCATCTGTCTTCACTTTCAGTGACTTCCTTCTGTGGTCCTCAACCCTCAGTACCTTTGAATCTACTGGAGGACTTGTTAAAACACAGATTGATGGGGTCCCTGAGTGCCTCAGTCAGTGAAGTGTTCAACTCTTGGTTTCGGCTCAGGTCATGATCTCACGGTTTGTGGCTTCAAGCCTGGTGTCAGGCTCTGTGCTTCCCGTGTAGAACCTGCTTGGGATTCTCTCTGCCCCTCCCATGCTTGTGCGTGTGCTTTCTCTCTCTTTCTCAAAATAAAGAAACGAACAAGAAATACCCCACACAGACTGATGGGCCCCACCCCCTAGAGTTTCTTCTAATTTGGTTGGTTGGAGTGGGGCCTGAGAATCTGCATCTCTAACAAGTTGCGACCCCAGTTGCTGCCGATGTTGCTGGTCTGGGGGCCACACCAGGAAGCACTATTTTAGTTCATGCCAGCGTCATTTCCTCTTGGGATTATTGCCCCCTTCTTCCTAGCTAAGCTGTCTCTAACCCTTCCTTTCTTTACATTCTCCGCCCCGATCTCAGATCTGGAAGGAAAGCCCTTTCTGACTGTGGATTGCCCATAGCATAAAGATCAGAATCCCTCACATGGCCTGCAGGGCCCTCAATTACCCGCTTCTGCCTTCCTCTCTAGTTGTTTCTACTGCCCCGCAGATCCCACAGCCAATGCCTAGCACACAGAACTCCTGGCAGTTTTATTATCCAGGTCATTTCGGGTTTTGTCCTTTGCGTCTACTGTTTCCTCTGTCTGCAGTCCACAGGTCCCTTTCTTCACATGCTGACTCCTGTGAATCCTTGCCAACTACTCAGGAATGCCTCCTTGAGGAAACACTAACTCTCCACCTACAGGCAGGGATAGGCCACTCACCTCTGTGCATTCTACCCCATGGTGGTTATCACATAATGGGATCACATAATGGTCCAGCTTGCCGGCAAGACTCTGAGCTTCTTGAGAGCAAGAACCCGATCTTTTGTCTCTATAGCAACAACCCCAAGCAGTACATTGCCTGACACAGAGTTGGAAATCAATGGATGTTGAATAAAAGGAGATCCGGGAAGGCTACTTTGAAAGAGGTAGGCATTTTAGCAGGATGTAAAAGGTGGTTAGGGTTTGGACCTGCAGAGAAAAGAGGAAGAACATTCCAGAAGAGGAAGCTTGAGCCTGCGCTTGGATATGGTCAAGCTTGGACACAGTATAAGGAAGGAACAAGGAGAGGTCTTGTTTGGCTGGCCACAAGACACCTTAAATGCCATTTGAGTGTCATACTAAAGGTAAAATCAACGTAACCCAGCAAGTGACTAAATACGAGTGTCAGGAAAGAGCCAGATCAAATGTGAAATGGTATGGATACCATACCATTAGCCAGGTATGGATGAATGGAGAGTACCATCAGCCAGGACCACACTCTGCAGAGATGGCATAAGCTGGATAAGGAGTAAAGATGGATGAGGACCGAGAGTGTGGTCCGGGTCATCGTGGATTTGGGGACACCATTAGGACACACTCCACTGTCTTGTCTTTCTGTGTCTTCTCACTCACCTCAATTATGTTTTGATCTCCAGGGTCTCCAAAGCCTAGTCAGTACTCCATAAATGCTGAGTGAATGAATGACGAATGTAGGCAATGGAATCAGAATAAAGGCCAGCAGTGGCCTCGCATGAGCCAAGGAAAAGGACAGGTGGTTTCTGAGACGATTTTAGGTAGTGCCATTATCACTGGTGATGCCACCCGTGCAGATAAGACTCGGGCCAGAGAAAAGGCAGGCCGCTGGCAACCGTGGAGGTCCAGGATGAAACTCCGGGGAAGGGCAGCAGGGGCACGGGAGACCACTGCCTGCCGTTAGACCTAGGGAAAGTCTTAGCATTCGTGAAGACAAAGCAAAGGACACCTTGACCATAATGCCTTACACCCATGCTTGCGGGGCCTCGTACGTGGTTTCGCTGTTGTGTGCAGCAATGGAGCGTGTGAGAGCTGGATATACGCTCCGACTTCGGTGTACCGATGCACTAAACATGAGCATTAGTACTTCTCGCCTACGTTTAAGGGTACGTCTAGAAAGAGTGACACGCTGTCACTGCGAATCCGTTTCTCCTTGTGAAATAGACAGCTTTAGAACTATTACGACACTGCTCTCCAAATCGAACCACTACAGCTCTTCCATTAAATTGAACACATTGGCATGTGTTTACAGGATATATTATGATGCTGAAGAATAGGTGAAAGAAACAGTTGCCCTTCTGACCTGTTCTTCCAGTCTTCCTGTACGATACGAAGGGCTCTCTCGTATTACTTTCATGTATGCAGAGAAATACTTGAATCAAAATAATCTAGAGATTAAAGCATTACGTGGTCTTCGCGTTAAGCACGTTTAACGTAGAGTTATGTTTCTAAGCAAACGGAAGTCTTCGGTTGTGCTTCCAAATCTGTAAGTCTATTTGTTAGATCCATCAAAAATGAAAATTTAGGTGACCCAGCAGGAAGTTCTGTTGCCAAAAACAAGTGCTGGGACATGCAGGGGGTGTGTGGAGGGAGGGAGTGGTGCACAGAATAAACAACAGATAAAGAAGCAGGGTTCAGTTTCCTTTTATACTCAAGCTTGGGGACAGGCAGATCATCATTTACCCAGGCCTGCCACTGATGAACCGTGTAGGAGGTTAGGAAGTGCCAGTCATTTACCTTTAAAATTCAATTTCATTTCTTCAAACAGTCGTTGTGAGCCGGAATATCTAATTAAAGGCTTGAGACACTGAGATCCTGCTGTAACAATCTAAAATGCAGGTACTAGGGGGAGTTATTTGTTGAGCATTTATTTGTTGAGCAAATATTTGTTGAGCATTTATTTATGACGTGAGCCCTGTGCCGGACATGAGGGAAACAGGCAGATTCAGGTTTTCTGTCCGGCTCGACCCAAACCTGGAGTTCTGGACCCTGGTTTTATTGTGGTTATTGCTACTGTGGCTAACACATGAACGACCGCCTTTGTTTCCAGTGTTCTACGTGGACTGTTTCCGAAGAGGTAATGTACATCCAAAGTGGCAATTTTCAATGTGCTTTAAAAAAAATTCCACTGTTGTGTCAGTATTGATGGGGCCAATTCGAAAATCTAAGGAAAGTGGAATTCAGGAAGTCAGGGAGTCAGAAGAATGCTTGGAATTTCTAACAGATTTTACTAAACATTTTCCGTATCATGACATGTTCCAGAAGACCGTAAACGTTAGTTTATACAAATATAAACTCCTCTTCGCCTTGCTGATAACTGCAAATAAATACTTCAGATGACCACCCACCAGAAAACCGAGAAGTTTTGGGTGCTTTGTGTGTTCCCTATAAAATACCTGCTTTGTACATTTTTGAAATCAAAAAGGAACATCATAAGGTATTGCCTCATTTTGTTCTCGCTTTTAAATTCTGCAGACCTGGCTTCAAATATTTCTGTGTATCTCAAGAATGTAATTACAGAAATGTAAAATGATGTTTAACCTCTTGCCTTGTCTTGACTCCCAAAGAAGGGGCATAGAGACATTTTTTTACTTGCATTTCAGTACAGCCGCACTGAATTCTCAAGTTAAAGTGACTTAACCTGTCACGTTGTTTTCATGGTAGCGATCAACTAAATTAAATACAAGACTATCGATTTCAGCAAGAAGCCTAATGTAAAGTTCACAACTGTTGCACAAAACACAGCTGTTTGGCCCTGGTCCAAGTGGTAATGAGTGAGGATAAAGGAGTAGGGAAGATAACCTTTAGCTTAATATAGTTTGGTAAATTAGATCCTATATATGCTAATTTTGTACTTTTTTTAATAGATGGAACTGATTAAAAATATAAGTACTGCCGAACAGCCCTATTTATTCACTCGACATGTTCATTTCCTCAACTTCTCAAGGTAAGATATTTTCCAGCTTAATGGTTCTTTCATTTCTTTTTAGCACTTAAACTCCTTCTAACGAACAATTATTTTAAAATCCACCTTCGTTTTCAAAGTAGTGTAATTGCCCTTGAAAGGACTTTTTTTTTTAATCCATTTATTTTGGTGGTGGAGGGATCCAAATTTGAAATATTTGGACAGAAGCTTCAGTTCTTTCTAGAACACTAATCTTAAATCTTTTGAAAACTTGAAATGATTTTAATGCACAGCCATTTGACGTGACAGTTGTGATTTCTTACGATGTTTATATATTTTTGAGAGAAAGAGAGAGAGCGCAAGGGAGGGGCAGAGAGAGAGAGAGAGAGAGGGAGACCGAGGATCCGAAGCAGGCTCTGCACTGACAGGAGACTGTCCGACGCGGGGCTCCAACTCACGAACCATGAGATCATGACCTGAGCCGAAGTCGGACACTTCACTGACTGAGCCACCCAGGCACTCCCCATAGTTGTGTTTTAAAGAAAAAACTCGGCTAGGTGCTAAAACAAATAAACTCAGAGGCAAGGGATAGGTGTTTCAACAAGTATTTCATTGCACGTTTTTGTACCATGTGAACCCACACGGGACTCTGGGCATAACTTAGTTGAGGAGTAATGTGTATTTTATAGGATCCAAGTGCTAGTACTCCGTACCTTTTTCATATTACATTTGATTATTCTAAATCTTGCATATTTGATGCTGGTGGGGGTATTTTAGAAATCTGGTTTTTTTCTTCAGCTGCAGATAATAATGCAGATCTTCACATTTACGTTGTGAGACTCTTGATCTGTCCAGTTGCTAACTCCCAAGTTCTGGGCGTTCTCTTCCGCCTTTAGCCCAGGTCCCCTGTCACTGCGCTTTACTGTAAACCGGTGGCTCTCAGATTCCTCCTCTCCATGGGCTGGCCTGCGTCTGTGCTCACAGTTGGTTTCCGCTGACAGAGCACGGGGTCCGGGGGCAGATCCGCTCCACAGCCCGGGGACCCCTGGGCCTCCCTTATCCTCTCACAGGCATTTCCCTTACTGCTAAAGCTCCCGCGGGGATACAGGACCTCGCAGGTCTGCACCAAGAGGCCTTGCTGGCTGATGCTGGCCTAACGCCCTGCTGAGGGCCAGGCACCCAGGGAGGCTGGCGCTCAGGGAAAGACAGGGCTCTGCCTGAGTGTTAGCTGCTTCCGAGTTCACACCTGAGCTGCCTCGTTCAGCTTCCCTGCCATGGGATGCCTACCTGTCTAGGGGGTGGGAGGTTTTAGCCTTCAAAGGGCTGTTGCACCAGGCCCTGCTGTGCACCAGGCTCTGTGCAAATCAAGTGAGATTCAGCAGAGCAACTTATGTAGCAAGTTACCTAGCGGCAAAGAGCAGGCGCTGCCTTATATTTAAAAGTAAGCTCTCCCTGCGATTTCCCCGCCTCCCTGCTACCCAGAGTTCCCTTGGATGGTGAATAGGCATATAGGTCACTGCCGATCAGCCTCCGCGACCCAGTAGCCTGAGCGTGTTTCCCACCACATTTGTAGAGTGGCCTGGTACTGGATTGTCTGGGGTATGCGCCCTGCCTCTCACTTCCAGCGGCCGAGAACACATAACGGGACGTAACTAGACAACAAGGTCGTGTTAGCTATCAGGCATTGCATTTTACGACTTGCAAAGAGCAGAGCACGCCCACCCCCACCCCTTGCTTTTCTGGTGAGCTTCCTTCCCTGTCACCTCTGATGTCCTCTAACCTCTGATTTAACCCTTTTTGCTCCAGGGGTCAGGTTTTTACAACCAAAACAAATTGCAATGCAACAGATTTTAATAATTGACTCAGGCCAGTGTAAAATTCTAATGATAAGCCGAAGCCAGTACCTTAATCGGATCAGCAGAACTAAGCACAGCATGGTAACCATGTCTTATCATGGCCTCTACTATTAAATACATGTCCAACGGGCACCTGGGTGGCTCAGTTGGTTGAGCATCTGACTTTGGCCCAGGTCATGATCTCACAGTTTGTGAGTTTGAGTCCCACAGCAGGCTCTCTGCTGCCAGCGCAGAGCCCGCTAAGATCCTCTGTTCCCCCTCTCTCTTCCCCTCCCCCACTCATGCTCTCTCTCAAAAATAAACATTTAAAAAACAATAAACACAACATACATACATACATGTCCAAGAGTTTAATCTTGATTAATTTAATCATGAAAGAAAAAAATTGATAAACACCTTTGAGAAGACAGCACGTCGCCAGAAACCAGTGTTGGCCTGGTGGCCAGGACCTCTGGCTGTCAGACCTTCCCAATGACCATGACTCTGGGCTAGCAGTTTCACCTCTGGGTGGGGATGGGAGGTCTCTGTTTTCCCATCTATGAAATAGGAACAGTTTCTGCCCACTCCTGGCCTTGTAGGGATGCTCCAAACACAGGAATGAAGGAAAGCCCTTCAACTTTTTTGAGGGGAGGATATTACATACGTGCAAAGTGGAGTTTATATTTTTACGGGGAAATAATTTCATTTTAAATAAGATAAATCCAGATATATACTGACTTACTTATGCATGCTTAAAAAAAATGTGTACCAAAATAGATCATTTTTTTTTTTTAACGTTTATTTATTTTTGAGACAGAGAGAGACAGAGCATGAACGGGGGAGGGTTAGAGAGAGGGAGACACAGAATCTGAAACAGGCTCCAGGCTCTGAGCTGTCAGCACAGAGCCCGACACGGGGCTCGAACTCATGGACTGTGAGATCATGACCTGAGCCGAAGTTGGGCGCTTAACCGACCAAGCCACCCAGGCGCCCCAGATCATTCTTTTTTTAACATATTTTTTAAGTTTTTTAAAATTAATTTTGAGAGAGAGAGATAGCGCAAGTGGGGAGGGGCAGAGAGAGAGAGAGAGAGAATCCCAAGCAGTCTCCACACTGGTGCAGGGCTTGAACTCACAAACTGCAAGATCATGACCTGAGCTAAAACCAAGAGGCAGACCGCCTAATTGACTGAGTCACTCAGGCGCCCCCAAAATAGATCATTCTTAATAAAGTATAGCAATTTATACTTGAGCAAGACTGAAACACGTACTCCTGTTTTCCTTACGGAGGAGATTGTCATAAGTAATCTTTCCTGTGGTATATGCCAATAATCTTTTTTGCCTCGTACTTTCCTATTAATTCTCATCTGGAATCCCTGCATAACTTGTGATTTTTTTTCCATCCAGGTTGTGTGTCTATTTGTATATTAGAAATGGCGCGTTCCTATGTCTCCAGCAACCGCTCGGCCCTAGGGCAATACAAACTACCTTTGTAGTTTCTCATCGAAGTGGTTTGTGAGAGCGTTCTGCCGCCTCTGGTTTCAGCATATGTGCTGCCGAAACGAGCACATCATTCTGCCGCTGCTGAAAGACACCTGTACAGTGTTGCCAATTGGCACTCAAGAGGCATGGCCGTCGAAGCCTCTTTCTGAGCCGACGGCTGAGTTCCTGAGCAGCCTCTCAGTGTCTCCCGAGATACCTTGAGGAGAGGGCCCGGCTCTTGCTGACTTCTCCACCTTCCATTCCATTTTGTTCAGCCAAACACGTGTTTTGCCGGGCACCCTCTATGTCCTGTTCACTGCTGGAGGACCGGGGCTTCCACAATGAACTAGAAACACTTTCGCTGCTTTAGGGCAAGTGTCTGTTCTTCTTCCATCGAGGAAGGATTGGCAGCAAAGTGTGATGGGCTTTAGGAGAGAGAGTGGCAGTCTCTCCCACAGGGGAGGCGGGACCCTCCCTCCCTAAGGGAGGAAGAGTGGGAGGGCCTTCCAGAACAGGAGCCCTTGCCTCTGGGATATGAGGGACAGGTCAGCGTTAGACAAAGGGGAAGGGCACTGGTGGCACAGGGACCAGCATGAGCTAAAACCGGACAAAGAGAGGGACCAAGAGGAATCCATCGATGGGAGCCCCAAGGGTGAGCACAGCAAAAATGGCTGGCAGTCAAGAGTTCTAAGCAGGAAAAAAGAGAGACTGGCCTGAGCAGCTCTGCTCCTTTTAAAAAGCCCATGCTATCTGCGGAAGCGATCATGTCCTCTCCTGCCACCCCACACGCACAAGGCGGCAGGGAGCCGGGGGGGGGGGGGGCGGTGGGAAGAGGGGTGCCCAGGTACGAGACCTCCATATGTACGGGCATACAGAGCAAGCCCCCCAGTATACAATTAACAGAAAACAACTAAGTGGGAACTTGTTAAGAGGGCTTTCCTGTGCTTCTAAAAAATGACTTCCATATTTTGAATTGTAAGGCAAAGAGATAATTGCGCTACTCTTAAGAAACCTACCACGATCGTTGCTGACAGCCATATGGTTGGCTTGTTTCAAGATAATGAGGTCATTAAGAGAAAAATTGATAGTGCAGCTTAATATTCTTTGTTGATATTTCGTTTCTAGTCTTCCTGACATTCTTAACACGCAGCAAGACACTTCCTGGTGAGCAGAACATAAGAATGGAAGTCACCTCTCTCCCCACACCTCGCGCACGCCAGTGTTCTGAACTTCTGAAGCGTACGGCGTTATCCCAGAACGAATTGCCTTTATTTCTTTTTTCCCCCATCAACTATGGCATCCTTATCTTGAAATATAGGTCCTCTCCTGTGAGCTCTTGGTGATTAGATAGCCGAGCTGCTTCATTTATTCATCATCTAGGCATCTTGCTCTGTTCCTTCTGTTCCCTATTTTTAGACCTGAAAGGACCATTTCACGATACCCAGTCTTATTAATTCAACCATAGGAAGCAGTAGTTATCAGACCAAACTGATGTTCCCATTGTTGCTTCGGGGAAGGCGTCCCACCAGAGGAGATAAACACTCCAAACTCAGCAGAAATTTCAGGCCAGTTGGGATTTGTGAGGGTTTCCACTAGACCGCTCCCTCATACGGTTTTTGAACCGCTTAAACATTTGGTCCGGACACATGTTTGCCAACTGGACTACCTGGAGAATTGAGTCAAAAATGATCTTGGCCTAAAAGATGCCCTTCTTTGTTGTGATGAT